TGGGAGCTGGCAGGAGGAGAGGGATCAGGTGGCTCCGAGCGCCGCTCGCGGTGCCAGATTTACGGCTAATTTGATGCAGCATGTAAACAAGCTGGCCAGTGCCAACTGGCATGAACTGGCACTTGGGCACTCAGGGAGGCTGCAGCACTGGGCAGAGGAGGCTCAGCGGGCTCGCCCCGCTCCCCAGCAGAGTCCTGCCCCACTGGTTTCACATCCCTCACCCCACGGTTGGCAGGAGCCAAGCCCTGCCTCAGCTCCCTGGTGTCCCTGGCATGAGGTTCCTCTGCAAGGGAAGCTTGCTCCTGGTGCTGGTGGGGGGTTTTGCCTTCATCCCCCTCTCTCCCCTCTCAGGCCTGTCTGGGAACCCCACCGACCTGGAGAAGAGGCGGCAGGGCTTCGGGCAGAACTTCATTCCTCCCAAAAAGGCCAAGACGTTCCTGCAGTTAGTGTGGGAGGCACTCCAGGACGTCACGCTGATCATCTTGGAAATCGCAGCCATAATCTCCTTGGGCCTGTCTTTCTACCACCCTCCGGGTGGGGACAATGAACGTGAGTCCCTGATGGGTCCCTGAGGTGTGATGGGGGCGTCCCCTATGGTGTGGGACCCTCGTGAGCCCAGCCCCATGCCCAGCCGTGCAGGAGCTGTGTGGAAGATCACCCCGTGGATCCCTCCACCCTTGGTGCAGATGGAGCTGGAAGCTGCTTCTGCTCACCCTCTAGGTGATGGCTTCTCCCCATCCTCAGGGTCCTTGGCATGGTCCCACCATGCAGGGACCTGCACCAAAGCTGGCATCACAGTATGGCTCAGAGCTGCTCCTTGCTGCTCCCCCAAAAGATGTTCAAAGGGTCTGGTGGCTTCCCAGCTCCCGTGAGGTGTCTCTTTTGGTTTGGGGAAGGAGGGTTGAGGCTGGCTGTCCTCTTGGCCAGGGAGTGCCACCCCCTGCGTGGCTGAGCCCCAGTGCTGGGTGAGTTTCTCCTCCCCAGCCCTGGCTCTCTGTGTAGCTGGAGCTGTTGGGATCTGGAGGTGCAGGGAGCTGGTGACTCACTCCAAGGTCACGCAGCGGAGCGAGGGCTGGGTGCTGCAACTGGAAATAGAAGCCAGTTGTCCCAGCTTTCACAGCCCAACTTCTGCCAAAAAGGAAAAGTGAAAAAAAGAGGGGGAGGGAAGAAAAAAAACCACCCCAAGAGGGATGTCCTGATGTGCAAAGACGTTTTCCCCCCCCGGCTGCAGTGTGCGGCCAGTCGACGGGCGGCGTGGAGGACGAGGGCGAGTCGCAGGCAGGCTGGATCGAGGGGGCAGCTATCTTGTTTTCGGTGATCATCGTGGTGCTGGTGACAGCTTTCAATGACTGGAGCAAGGAGAAGCAGTTCCGGGGCCTCCAGAGCCGCATCGAGCAGGAGCAGAAGTTCACGGTCATCCGCAAGGGGCAGGTGATTCAGATCCCCGTGGCCGAGATCGTGGTGGGAGACATCGCCCAGATCAAGTATGGTGAGTGGAGGGGGGTGGCTGGGGGCTGTCCCTCCACCCCTGGGGCTTGGTGGTTCCTCCTCTCAATGCTTTGCCAGCCCTTCTGCCTTGAGGGGAAGCATGGGCTCCTCCCCTTCCTCTGTTTTGCAGCGTGTTGGCTGAAAGTGGGGGGAGATGCTCCTGTGTAGGTGATGGAGCTCTGCTCACCTTGCTACTGGAGCTGGGCTGGAAGCTCCAAGGAAGCTCTGCTCACACCTTTGGGTTGCTTTAGTGAGCTGCTGGTCTCAGAGATTCATTGTCACCACCATGTCCTCGTTGGTGATGATTTCCTTAGCAAGGAGATGTAGCCCTGGGGCTGAAGGAGGTCCTGCTGCTTGGTCACCAGGGGTATTCTCACCCCTTGTGAGTCCCATCAGGCAGGAGATCTGTTCAGCATGGTGTTCATTTTCACCCAGGGCTTTTTCCTTCCTCAGCAAGTGGATGGTGGGATTGTGTGATGGTTTGGATGTATCAGGAGGCTGTGGGAAGGATGTGGAGTTGATTCAGTGAAAGCAGATGGGGGAAGCACTGTCTAGTTGAGCAAGAGTCCTAACAAGAAATGCTTTCATACATCAGTGAGGATTTTGGAGCTATTGGATATCATCTTATAACCCCCATCTGTCTTATAATACCCATCTGTTGCTTCTCCTCCCTCTAGATTTGATCTGAGACCAAGTTTTGAGTCCTTTAGCTGGCACATGAAGCCTTGGGCATGGGGCAGACAGGGGGGAGTTGTGGCTGCTGGTGCTGACCTCTCCACTTTGCTTCTCTCCTAGGTGATCTCTTGCCAGCAGATGGGATCCTGATCCAGGGCAATGACCTGAAAATAGATGAGAGCTCCCTGACAGGGGAGTCAGACCAAGTCAAGAAATCTCTGGACAAAGACCCCATGCTGCTGTCGGGTGAGGACCCCGGGGGGCTCTGGTGTGGTGGGTGCAGTGGAGGGATGGTTGGTCCCAGGCCCTGGTGCTGGGGAGATGGGACCTGTGTGCCAGTGCCCTGGCTGACTGTGCCCTTCCTGCTGTGCCAGGTACCCACGTGATGGAGGGCTCTGGCAGGATGGTGGTGACTGCTGTGGGGATCAACTCCCAGACAGGGATCATCTTCACTCTCTTGGGTGCAGGAGAAGGAGATGAGGAGAAGAAGGTGAAGAAAGGTAAGGAGATCCACTGATCCTGCTTATTCCTTCCTTTTGTCTTTCTCCCATGCCTGGGAAGCATCCACTGGTGTGCCACAAGCCACGGGAGGCTGTTGTGGGTTAGTGCTCGTGACCCAGGCAGGTATGGTGAGCTCTCAGGGTGGCTGAGGGATTGGGGGGAGTCCCTCCCCGCTGCCCCTTCACCTGCAGCGTGGGGATCGTGCTGCCTGAGGAGATCCCTCCACCTTGTGCACCCAGATCTCTGCTCGGCAGCTCTTTCAGACACAGCTCCAGCTCTTCTCCAGCTGTCAGCAGCCTGGAGTAGCCAGGGTGGGGAGCTGAGGCTCAGAGGGAGAAGTGGCCTTTAGCCATGCCCCACGGTGCTCCTTGCCCACCCCGTGGTGGGAAGGTGAGTCCTGGTTGTCTGCAGGATGTTAGGAGCCCATCCAGAACCTTGAGGACTCTGAAGATCTCTTCTGGCATCCCCTGAGCTCCCAGGGGAAGGGGGCAAGGCACAGAGGATGGCAAGAGGCAGAGGTGTGCTGGTGGTAGGAGAGCAGCCAGGTTGATCATGCTGAGACTCAAATGCTTTCCTGCCTCAGCTCTCACATCTTCCTGCTTATTCCCCTGCTCTGTGCCAGCTTCAGAGCCAGCGTTGGTACAAGCCAGGCCTGGGAAGCTCCTGCTCTCCTTCATGTCCCTGCAGCTCTGGGCACACTGGGAGCAAGGAGCTGGCAGGAGGGAGCTGTTGGCTGTGCCAATGTCCCTGTGCCAGGGAGCCCTTCCCAGGAGGCGATGCCAGGAGGGGAGAGGTTTGCTGAGCTCCTCCTGGCAGCTGTTCCAGCCCAGCACTGGGTTTCTCCAGCTCCTATCGCTGGCATTCGGTGGCTGTGGAGCTCTGGGGGTTTAAGAGGCAGAGGGGAGGTGGGAGTGGGTGGTGGGGGGTGGGGGCAGCATTGCTGCTGGAGCTGAGCAGCAGCTCGCTGGGCATGGTGCTCTGTGTGTGCCCAGCCTGTGAGCTCAGCCCCATGGCAAACCCAGCTCTGTGCCTTGCAGCCCTCAATTTGGGAGCAGAGTGGGGCAGGGGCTTCACCAGCTCATCCTGCTGTGGTGCTGGGGGATGAGGGGCAATCACAGAATCATTTGGGTTGGAGGAGAACGTTCAGATGGAGTGGGTGGCTTTGGAAGGGGGTGATCAGGCAATTGTAGAATTATTCTGGTTGGGAAAGACCTTTAAGATCATCAGGTCCAGCCCTTCCCCCAGCACTGCCAGGTCCCCACTGCCAGCCCTGCCAGGTCCCCACTGCCCCGTGTCCCTCACCCCACATCTCCACGGCTTGGAACCCCCTCCAGGGGTGGGGACTCCACCACTGCCCTGGGCAGCCTGGCACAGCCCTGGACAACTTTTTTGGGGAAGAAATTTTTCCTTGTCCAACCTCAGCCTCCCCTGGTGCAACTTGAGGCTGTTTCCTCTTGTCCTAACGCCTGTTCCCTGGGAGCAGAGCCCGACCCCCACCTGGCTCCGGGCTCCTGTTGGGTGTACGAGCCCCTTGTTGCTCACAGCTTGGTCAGACTGCAGCAGCCCCTTGTGTTGTGGAGGAGGCACGTTGGGGACCCCCATGTACAGCCTGTGCCCACCACAGACACGAGGGGCAGAGCCCCCCACTGTGGCTATGGTGCTGCCCATGGTGGGGGACAGGTCTGTGTCTCCTGGGTGGATCTGCTCCCCCCTGATGGCAGCAGGAGGTCGGGAGCACTGGTGCTCAGCACATGCTGCATGAGGGTCAAGCTCTGCTCTGTAGTTTCTCCTCCCCAGAGGTCTGAAGCACCACTGGCACCCTTTGAAGCCCTGACAGGGGGTGTGGAGGGTGCTCTGCAGGTGGGGAAGTCTGAACTTTGGGGACGGGGTGTCTGGGGGAGCCAGGGAGCTCTGGAGCCTACCCGGTGCCGTGAGCCGTGGAGGAAGGCACAGGAGGTATCCAGAGGGTGGCTGTAGGGTGCTGAGCCCCCTGCATGGATGCTGCTGGAGCAGTGTGTGGCCCCAGGTTGTCCCCACCAGCTGGATGGTGAACGTGGGTCCATGTGCTCAGCCCTCCACCCTTTCTCTCTTTGAACAGGTAAAAAAAGTGGAGCCCCCGAAAATCGCAACAAAGGTAACCAGCCTCTCCATCCTTTGAACCAGCACCACACTAACTACTGAGCATTCCTCCTTCCTTCCTTCCTTCTTCTCATCAGTCTGTGCTCTTTGCTGCTCCGGCGGGACTCTCGCCCCGTTGTCCTGGGAGAGGGTGCAATGGTCCCGTGGCCAGTGGCCCTGGCATGGCATCCTGGTGCCCTCGGGCACCCCAGCACGGGGCTGTGTACCTGGGATAGGGCTGGCTGGCTTCCCCCGTGGCCACGTTGCCCTCGTGTGGGACAAAGCCTGTGTACAGGGAGGATGGGGCTCTTCCAGCAGCCAACATCACCAGATGAGCATCCCTTCCTCGGGGCAAACTTCATCCACGTTGGCATGAACCACAGCTCTGAAACCCTTGTGCCCACCAGAAGCTGTCCCTGTGAAGGGTCTGTGTTTGGGCACAGCTGGGGGAGAGGTGTGAGTCCCCTCCTGCAGTTCCTGGGGTGAAATGTCCCCTGGGGCCTGGCCAATGTGACGGTTGCACCCTCTCCTCCCATGGCCTCGACTCCGTGAGCGTCTCCTCGCCAGTGTTTCTCACACTGTTCTTTGCAGGCTGTGGAGGAAGCCCATTTCTGCACCTCTCCACCTCTTTCTTTCTTTCTTTCTCTTTCTCTCTCCTCTCAGCAGTTTGAGTTTCCCTCCTTCCCGTCAGACTGTGTCCGGGTGCTTGTTTTGTCCCTGTTGGGTCTGTTGTGACCGTGGAGGTGTCTGGTGAGGAGCTGCCCTGAGCTCTGGGGTGTCTGGAGCCATGGAGGAGCAGCAGCTGGGGGGGGGGCCAGGTCCCGGGGGGTCTGCAGGGCGTGCCCATGTTCTAGCAACTCCAAACCTGGCTGTCTCGGGTCCTAAAAACACGACGGATGGCTCAGGGCTGGCATTCAAGGAGCTGCCTCACTCCTCTTCAATCTCCATCCGAATTTCTAACCGTCCCCTTCCATCTCACCATCTCAGTCGCTCCCCTGGCAAGTGATTCCTGCCGAGCTGCCCACGGGGCACTGGGAGGGAGTGGGGGTGCTGCCAGGGGGCTGCAGCCTCTCTGGGGTCAACCCAGCGTGGTCCCCAGCCGCTGCAGGATGCGAAGCAGCTCGCAGGGGAGGCTAGAAGTGACCTGTCTCCACCCCAAAGCCTGGCCAAGAGGGTTTCTTGCAGCGCTGCCTTAGAGGTGTGACCGGTGCAGGGGTCACATCACCAGTGTCAGCTCGGAGGATCCTTTGTGGGGCTGGGGTAGATGGCAGAAAGCTGCCCTGTAGAGAAGTGGCAGGGCCCTGGGACACGAGGTGTCCATGTGCTCGGATGCGTGTGTCGTCGGGAATGGTTCTTGTTCTGGGTTTTCTCTCTCTCTTTCTCCCACCACCATCTTTCTCAGTGGTGTCCTCCAGGTTTTCCCGGTCTCTCTCCTATTCACACGTGGTGTCTTCTTTTGCCCTGGGCTGTAGCTAAAACTCAGGATGGTGTGGCCTTAGAGATCCAGCCCCTGAAGAGCCAGGAAGGGGTGGAGAACGAGGAGAAGGAGAAGAAGAAGGTGAAGGTGCCCAAGAAGGAGAAGTCTGTGCTGCAGGGGAAGCTCACACGCTTGGCAGTCCAGATCGGGAAGGCAGGTGAGTGGTGGTAGCCCGGCACGAGATGTCACCCTGGAGGTGTCACCAGAAGCAGGAGAAGGGGCTGTCCCCCTCCCCTGCATCCCCTCACCCACCGCTCTGCCTCTTCTCCCCCCAGGGCTGATCATGTCGGCCATCACCGTCATCATCTTGGTGCTGTACTTCGTGATCGACACCTTCGGGGTGCAGAGGAGGCCCTGGCTGGCAGAGTGCACCCCCATTTACATCCAGTACTTCGTCAAGTTCTTCATCATCGGCGTCACCGTGCTGGTGGTGGCTGTGCCCGAAGGGCTCCCGTTGGCCGTCACCATCTCCTTGGCCTACTCGGTGAAGGTGAGACCACGCGGCAGCGGGGTCCCCGCTGGGGGTGGGATGAATAAATCCAAGCTTTTTTGGCTCCGACCTTCCCGTTCCTCTTGCAGAAAATGATGAAGGACAACAACCTCGTGAGGCACTTGGACGCCTGCGAGACCATGGGCAACGCCACCGCCATCTGCTCGGACAAGACGGGCACGCTGACCATGAACCGCATGACCGTGGTGCAGGCCTACGTCGGGGACACCCACTACCGCCAGATCCCCGACCCCGAAGCCATCCTGCCCAAAGTCCTCGACCTCATCGTCAACGGCGTCGCCATCAACTCTGCCTACACGTCCAAGATCCTGGTGAGTTTTGGGAAGGGTCGCAAACTCTCGGGTCTTCTGGACGTCTCTGGAGTACTGCGTCTGGTTCCTGAGGCCCTGTTGCAAGAGGGATGTGGAGCTGCTGGAGGGTGTCCAGAGAGGGATCCGAGGGCTGGAGCAGCTCTGCTGTGAGGACTGACTGAGAGAGTTGGGGCTGTTCAGTCTGGAGAGGAGAAGGCTCCGAGGGGACCTTATTGTGGCCTTCCAGTATCTTAGGGGGGCTACAAGAAAGCTGGGGAGGGACTTTTTAGGATATCAGATAGTGCCAGGACTAGGGGGAATGGGGCAAAGCTGGAAGTGAGCAGATTCAGGCTGGATGTGAGGAAGAAGTTCTTCCCCAGGAGAGGGGTGAGACCCTGGCATGGGTTGCCCAGGGAGGTGGTTGAGGCCCCATCCCTGGGGGTCTTTAAGGCCAGGCTGGAGGAGGCTCTGGGCAGCCTGATCTAGTGGGAGGTGTCCCTGCTCATGGCAGAGGGTTTGGAACTGGGTGACCCTTGTGGTCCTTTCCAACCCTGACAGATTCTGATTCTGTTTTAGCAGAAGACTTAGTAGTGTTGCCTTGATGGTTGGACATGGTGATCTTGGAGGTCTCTTCCAACCTAGAGGATTCTATGATCTTATCATAGCAAGGCTTGGAATTCCTTCTCCCTTCCCTTCCTCCCCGCTAGCCGCCGGAGAAGGAAGGGGGGCTACCCAGGCAAGTGGGGAACAAGACCGAGTGTGCCCTGCTGGGTTTCGTGCTGGACCTGAAGCAGGATTACCAGGCCGTGAGGAACGAGGTGCCAGAGGAGAAGCTCTACAAGGTCTACACCTTCAACTCGGTGCGCAAGTCCATGAGCACGGTGCTGAAGAACGGCAACGGCGGCTTCCGCATGTACAGCAAGGGAGCCTCCGAGATCATCCTGCGCAAGTAACCCTCCTCCCCTCCTCCCCTCCTCTGCTGCTCTCCCCCCAGCCCGTGGGGTTTAGGCTCCCCGTGCCCCGTGGAGCTGTTCTGGGGGGCTGTGGGGTGAAGGGTGCCCAGCCCCTGTGGAGCGGGGAGGTGTGACCTCGGCACAGGGACGTTGAAGCTGTTGAATGGGTCTGGAGGAGACCACAGAAATGAACCCAGGCTGAGAGAGTTGGGGTTGATCAGCCTGGAGAAGGCTCCTGGGAGATCTTCTGGTGGCCTGAGAGACCACAGAAATGAACCCAGGCTGAGAGAGTTGGGGTTGATCAGCCTGGAGAAGGCTCCAGGGAGACCTTCTGTTGGCCTGACAGGACTTCAAGGGGCCTCTGAGAAAGCTGAGGACAGACTTTTTAGCAGGGCCTGTTGCAACAGGACAAGGGGTGGTGGTTTTATACTAAAAGGGGGAGATTGAGATTGGAGAGAAGGAAGGGATTGTTGATGCTGAGGGTGGTGAGCCCCTGGCCCAGGCTGCCCAGAGAGGTGGTCACTGCCCCATCCCTGGAACCATCCCAGGGGAGGTTGGCCGGGGCTCTGAGCACCCTGCTCTAGCTGGGGATGTCCCTGCTCAGTGCAGGTGGTTGGACTAGAAGACCTTGAAAGGTCCCTTCCCACCCAAACCAGTCTGGGATTCTGTGACTATTGGGAGGTGCTGCTGTGCAAAGTGTTCTAACTTTTAGGGTGGCTTTGGTAAAGCTGTAAGGACTTGTGGGGAAGGGGGATGCCCCTGTTCTGTAGGTGGGGTGGTGGGGAGCGGATGGCTGAGCCAGTCCACGTGCCACCCCTGATTTCCTTGACCCCTCCATCCTGATCCTGTGTTAGGTGCACCAAGATCCTGGACAAGAACGGTGACCCCCGGGTGTTCAAGGTGAAGGACAGGGATGAGATGGTGAAGAAGGTGATCGAGCCCATGGCCTGCCATGGCCTGAGGACCATCTGCCTGGCCTTCCGTGACTTCCCCGCTGACGCCGAGCCCGACTGGGACAGTGAGAACGAGATCCTGTCTGACCTCACCTGCATCGCTGTGGTGGGCATAGAGGACCCTGTGCGGCCAGAGGTACTGCACCCCGGGCAGCTCCTGGGCCAGGAGCCCCTTGCCCTGCTGCTCAGGACCATGAGCCCCTTATGAAGGCACCAGCAGCTCCTCTGCACCCACCCCTGCGGTGCCCTGTGCTGCCAGCTCCCTGCTGCTGGTGGGTCTCTCCCATATCTGGACTAGATGACCTTGGCTGCAGGGTGCTTCTGCCCAGATCTTCCCCCCAGCCTCTACCCCAGCTCCGTGCATGAGCCGAGACCATTCCACGTGCAGCTGAAAGGTGCAGAGAGGAGCCCACAGAGGGGTGCTGGGGAGGGCCAGGGCTGATCTAGCTGCTTCCTCCCAGGCAGCCTGCTGCCCGCTCTCCCTCCGCTGCAGGCTGGTGGGCAGGCAGCTGGGCTAATGCAATAAACCCTCCGATACCTGCCCCCTGATTACATTTTGGAGCTTGCCCCTGCTCTCCTGCCTCGCTTGCAGCTTCCCTGATTAGATGTTCAAGTATCTGGGTCTGGGAATTGCATTACAGATGCCCTGTCTGCACTGGCTCTGGAGGCCGTTGATTGAATTTGCTAATTTCTCACTAATATCCTCTTCCCCCACCGCTCTGGAATAGATAAACCTGTTAGCCCATCGGTGTGGGGGGGTGTGGGTGAGACTCCCCCCCTTTTGATGGATTGCTTGGCCGTGGCTGGGCGCCCAGAGCTGGGGAGGAGGCAGCGAGGTTGCCTTCCCCTTGGGACAGGGCTGGAGGATCTCGTGCTGTCTGTGCTGGAGGAGCTGCTCCAGACACACACCAGCCTGGCCGGGGCTGGCGGC